AGGCGAAACTGTCCTGTGGCTGTTCGCAGCCTGTCGCAGTTAAATCCAGAAATGGATGTCATTATTAAGTACATACATTCCATATACATACATATATATATATATATATATATATATTTCTGAGGTTCATGTTGTAAGCATCATACTATTTCACTGCAGCTGGGCTACACCGACCCACACTTAAACTAGATCTTTACCTGGATAAAAAATACTCCATGTTATTTGATTTGCCCAGTTCTGTTATCCAGGTGCATATATTCTGAGTCTAATTTAAGTGTATATTTCCCTACAAATTCTATCTTGGTTGTTTGATATTCCTGGTGTGGTAGCGCTTGATGTGGATGTTGAGAAGGCGCCTACCCTCGACCACGATTACTTGCTCTAGGATACAGTAAATCGTTTGCTTGAGGTGGGGACAGAGAGCACGCTCCACGTGGACGTGCTCGGCTCAAAGAGTGGTTCCATCCACTGTGCGGATAACTACGGCCCAGTCACCGCCTTGTGTACGTCTGGAACGCATGATTCCCTGAGTATATTGGCTGGAATGTTGCCGCTGTACATGCTAAACGAGTGTGGGTCGGCTCTGTTGATGTAACGTGGCTCCCATCCACAGGCCCCTGAGTAGGCGCAGGCATCGTGTGGCTGTTCGCAGCCTCAGTGGCAAATTAATCCGGAAACGGATGTCGCCAATACACTTTGTGATTACTGCAATTATTACGTACAGATATATATATATATATATATATATATATATATATAAACACGTATGTCCTATGCTGAGGCTGATGTATTCATGATGCTTCTTCACCGTAGCCAGGCTAAAGCAACTTACACTTAAAGTAGGTCTTTTTAAGCTGGATAAATTTCATTCCACTTTATTTGGTTTGTTCAGCCTACCTGAGTATGGTTGGCAGCATCCGGTTTCGGATTTGCCTGTCACTGTGGCAAGCCACAGGACGCCTGCGCCTACAGAGGGACCATGGATGGCTTGCGCTGCACCACCCACAGCTCCAACCACATACCCCATATCCAGTGTAAACCCGAAGGAATAAGACCGGGAGGCATGCGGATGGGAAGCACGTTTCATCAACGAAGCCGGCCCACACTTCTTCACAGACAAACACAAGCACGCTGTATTTGGGGAATCAAGCGCACACAAGGCGGTGGTTACGGCGTAGCCCACTCCACACTGAATGCATGGAACCGCTCTTTGAGCCTAGCACGGCCACAAGTACCGTGCACCCCGTCCCCTCCAGCAACGACCAACTGTCTCCCGGAGCCAGTATGAACGATGTAGTGGGTAATAGACAGGTAGGCACCTTGTCAACATACACATCAAGCGCAACCATACCAGGGATATCAAAACAACAGCCATTCAATTTAAACGACAAGCTGAAATAAAATAAATCCAATAATGCATACAGATACGGTGGCATAACTCTTCCCTAAATTACCATATGAAGTAAGTTGGTCAGCAACAAATCCGTGATAAGTAAGAAATGTCCACAAGTTACTTAAAATGCTACAAACGCAACAAAATTACCGAAGATAAGCGCAATTAGCGTAAGCAACGTGGCCAGTTAATCGAACATTATTCAGGGAGGCAGAACAAACCAAATAAAGCGGAATGAAATTTAGCCAGCTTAAAAAGACCTAGTTTAAGTGTAAGTTGGTTTAGCCCAACTGCGGTGAAGAAGCATCAAGAATGCAACATCAGCCTCAGCATGGTTGGCGGCATCCGGTTTCGGATTTGCCTGTCACTGTGGCAAGCCACAGGACGCCTGCGCCTACAGAGGGACCATGGACGGCTTGCGCTGCACCACCCACAGCTCCAACCACATACCCATATCCAGTGTAAACCCGAAGGAATAAGACCGGGAGGCATGCGGATGGGAGCCACGTTTCATCAACGGAGCCGGCCCACACTCCTTCACAGGCGAACACAAGCACGCTGTATTTGGGGAATCAGCGCACACAAAGCGGTGGCTGGACCGTAGTCCGCTCCACACTGAGTGCATGGAACCACTCTTCGAGCCTAACACGGCCACAAGGACCGTGCACCCCGTCCGCTCCAGCAACGACCAACTGTCTCCTGGAGCCAGTATGGACGACGTAGTGGGTAATAGACAGGTAGGCACCTTGTCAGCACGCACATCAAGCGCAGCCACACCGGGGATATCAAACAACAGCCAATCACTTGAGAGAGAGAGAGGAGAGAGAAAGAAAAGAGAAAAACTTGATTAATGCATAAGGAAACGGTGACATAAACCTGAATTAAATAGCATACGTAATAAGTTGTTTACAAACAAATCCTAGCTAAGTGCACGAGGTCAGGAAGTATAGTTCACGGTATGCCACGAACACAAAAATGTTATGGAAATCGAATACAATTGGCTGAAGCGATGTGTGCAAGTTAATGGAACAGAGTACAGGGAGATATTATATGAGAAAGAAAAGCATTAAGGTAAAAAACTGTAAACCCACCACCTGAAATAAAGAGACTTAGCATGCAGCACGCGGTTAGTAAATCGAATTCAGCGTGCCTACAAACGCTGCGCCGGCTCGTCGTAATTCTCTGCAGGACCCGTCGTCGCTTCTGTAGTGGCCCCAAATGGCACAGCGCGTGGCCCACTAGACATTTATATGAGAAAGAAAGGCATTAGGACAGAACCGAAAACCCACCTACCTGAGTAATCTTCTATTAACTGGCCACGTTGCTTACGCTAATTGCGCTTATCTTCGGTAACTTTGTTGCGCTTGTAGCATTTTTAAGTAACTTGTGGACATTTCTACTTATCACGGCTTTGTTGCTAACCAACTTACTTCATATGGTAATTTAGGGAAGAGTTATGCCACCGTATCTGTATGCATTATTGGATTTATTTTATTTCATCCTGTCGTTTCAAGTGAATGGCTGTTGCTTGATATCCCCGGTGTGGCTGTGCTTGATGTGCGTGCTGACAAGGTGCCTACCCGTCTATTACCCACTACCTCGTCCATACTGGCTCCAGGAGACAACTGGTCGTTGCTGGAGGGGACGGGGTGCACGGTCCTTGTGGCCGTGTTAGGATCGAAGAGTGGTTCCATGCACTCAGTGTGGAGCGGACTACGGTCCAGCCACCGCCTTGTGTGCGCTTGATTCCCAAATACAGTGTGCCTGTGTTTGTCTGTGAAGAAGTGTGTGCCGGCTTCGTTGATGAAACGTGGCTCCCATCCAAATGCATCCCGGTCTTATTCCTTCGGGTTTACACTGGATATGGGGTGTGTGGTTGGAGCTGTGCGTGGTGCAGCGCAAGCCACCGATGGTCCATCTGTAGGCGTATGCGTTCTTTGGCTGTCCTATGGAGGCCATAATGACAGGCAAATCCGGAATCGGATGCTGCCAATCATGTGCGAGTACAACCCGCGACCTGAGGCTTACGAGTAAAGCCAAGTTAAAATAGGCCTTATGAGCCTACATGAGAGCATTTTCAGTCGGGATTAGGAGAGGATCGGACTGCTTATAAAACCACAAATTAATAAAGAGCTGAGATTTAGTAAGGTCGTCGCTTGATGAGAGGGGACTGCCCTGTCCTCTGCGCAGCAGTAACGTGCAGGTCTGTGGATATTGAGCGGCACTGCATTACATCTAGTAACTTAGCCATGACGGTTGTCACCGTCCTCCGTAACACAGTGGTTTCAACCACAGACTGGCAACAATCGAGTTGCGGGTTCGAGCCCAAGGAGAGCCGGATGGAATGCTCACTGCCGAAGATTCCCGAAAGAGCCCAGTTGTGGCTCTAGCTTATGTATACCAATATCTATCCGCATTCGATAAGTAGGGTGTAAGAATTTTTCGCTAATTAACACACGTCATTGTGCAACACAACATCCCTTGCTATCGTCAAACCATTTATGGGTTGCACCTAAGTTATATATAAATAAATAAATAGTATAACTAGTAGTGCAGTCAAAGTTGTCTAAGGCGGCCACTTAAAGGAACCGACAAAAAGTGGTCGCCTTGGACAGGTTCATGTATAGGGGTATTATTCATAGAAAAAAGTTGGGGATGTTTTTCGCTAGTCGCCATAGACCGGTGGTCGCCATAGCAGGCTGGGCTGTAATAATACATCTAACGCGGCTGGACAAGGTAGAGCAATGCTGTTGACAATGAGATGGCGGCACCAAAGTAAGGAGAATGGTGCAAATGCTCCATCTTTATCCTATAACCTCCACGTTAAGAAGGAAACATTGATTGCTGCTGCACCGGTCATTTGGGTGCGGTGCACAATGCCCGTGAGAGCATGGGAATTCACCAGGCACGTGAACAGTCGATGGTGGTTTCCCCGCTGCGACAGCGAACGAACATGGGACACGTGCATTCCTAGACGGTGCACTGTAATCAGACTGCCACTGTGGCATCTGCATGCTCGGGGTGTAAACATGGAGGAATTCACACCGAGGGAAATGCGGATCGGATCGGTCCCATACGTCAGTGACATACACACTATGCATGGGGAAGCGTGCGAAGTGGACAAGACCCAGAGAAGTCAGATGCAACCGCATACAACACGGAGAGGATAAATGTGCCGCGGAAGCACACAGCTGGCTCATGCGGGAGTGAGTGAAGCCTACTGAAGGTTATTTGCGTCGAATTTGTACGAGACGGAGCATGAGGCATATCCCGTTTCACCATGGGACCGCTCGATGGATTTAGCATTCCCATGCGAGAGGGAGCAAATTCACCACACTCAGGTGCGCGGGTCACAATGGTAGGTAGAGGGCAAAGTTGCAGCAGAACCAACCCAATGGGTAGACAGGAAATGACCAAAAATGGAAAGTACTAGTGGCGGGAAATGCAATGAAACGTCTACCAAAGTAATTGTCTGTGGTCAACCTGTCGAAGAAATTCCGTTTAAAAACGCATCAGTTGATGCGCTTTGAAGACCGTGAAAATTCCATCTCCTCAGTAAGGGAATAGCAACGCAAAAAGAAACGTCAAACACGAGCCGAAAACTCACCCGATGTGGCGGTCCGAGCACGGACTGCTTTCTCTGGCTGCAGCTGTGAGTCGCACACACGACATCGGAGGCAATTGCGATGGAAGTTGGATCCGAAGGCGGTCACCCGTTCGATGGAATATACTCGCTTGTTGCACATGCGGCACTGGGTGCTACCACCACCTTTGCGAGGGCCAGAGAGGCGATCCGTATTTGTCGATGTGGTCGATGTCTACAGAAAGGAACACAAAACGTGGAAGTGATGACTGGTCGATACACTAATGTATGGATTGAAAAGACGTTGGAATTTGTGGCATAGATACTCAGGAGTCCAGCACCTGATGTTTCGCACTACAACATGCCTTCGACATGAGAAATCTGAAATTTCCTGTGGCGTACTCTCATATAAACCTTGGCCTACCACCAGGAAAAGGTCTTATACCCGGCTTACCTCTCTGCCTTGAGAATGAGCTGCTCCTATACACTGGCGCTTACTGTACCTCTTAGGCATATATATATATAATATTTTTACTTTAAAGTGGACGTTTTGTAAACCAGATCAGGCCCATTGTATTCTCAGCATAAAATCAGCAAGTTGTTGGCGAGCAATGGGGAGTAAAGCAACTAGACGATGTTCAGACCACATTATGGTCAGGATAATGTAGCCCGAATTGTGCGGCCAATAGTACAGGCCATACTCATGATCGCTTGCGTCGCTAACCTCGATCAAAGGCGGTGATCCAGTTTCCTCTGTCTTACCAGCGGCCTATGCGTAATTCGTGTACCTGTGGGTGTACATCCAACCTGTGAACCTGTACGACTATTGGAAAGTCAGACTCCCGAATCGTGTAGTGTAATCTGACTCAGCCAAACTTTACTTAGCTTTATTGTCCGGCTGCTTCACGAAACCACCACAAACGAGTGGTGAACGACAAGTATATATATATATATATATATATATATATATATATATATATATATATATATATATCACAGTCAATTGAGAAAGAAAGACAGAACGGCTCTGGAAAATGTACAACGATCATTTACCAAGCTGGTCATGGGGCGCTGCTTAAACCTGACTTGTTATGATCGCTGTCGAAAACTCCAAATGGACCCTCTTTGGCTGAGACGTTTAAAGAACAACCTCGTTCTCTTCTACAACATTATAAACCAACGAATTTACGCAGACAGCACCGCACTTGAACTATGAAAGACTGCAGTCTACCCCACACGTAATGGCGACTACTCATTACGCACAAACCTTCCAAGTCATAAAACTCGGTCGAATTTCTTCTTAGTAAGATACACTGATCTGTGGAACAAACTACCCTACAGATACGCATGTGTACAAGCTACGTTACGTTTCGAAATTCCCTTCAGACGTTCATCACTATACGAAATGTGTTGAAGACCTTGGACTCACAGCGAACTCTAGAAACATTGACAGAAGCTGGTATAAAAAAGATATGAGAAGATAATCGCTTACAGCTAGCTTACCCACTACATATCATTACCTACAACATCAAATCCTGTGTCTGTGCAGCCTAGTATCCCCTCCCTTGTATTATCTACTCCTGATGATACAAACATCCGTAAATTGTACATATGAGGTGCATGGGTCTAGGACCCGAGGAAAAAAAAGTCATGAACCGAAATTCTATTAATAAACTTTTCTTTACTATTATGAAACGTATTCATTATACAAATGATCGCTCCCACTTATGGGGTCGTGTACCGTCTGTCGGTAAACATACAAATTTAGTTATTTATTTTATATATATCCTAGTGTTGGACCAAGGTTTGAATGAGAATAAACCGTAAGAAACACACATTTCTCATGCCAGAGTAGTGTTGCATTGCGTAGAATCAGGTGATACTACGTGAGAACAAGTGGAACAGGTATGGTCAAACGAGTTGTTCCACACAAACAGAATTCCATGGGAAAGCAAAGCTGTATCTTCGCAGAGCCGATAACAGAGCGTAAGGAAATCGAAAGATTACCTACAGCGTTCCACAAACGGCACGTCAGCAATGAGCGGCCACTACCAGAGTTGCGGGTCGAATAACGACAACCGAATTCAGAGTCCTCCAAAAGAATTGTGCGCGCATGCATGCATGCAGAGATGAAACGGCATATCCTGAACAAGCACTGATTAACAAAGTCAAGAAGAGCGGAGTTGGTGACTAATTTGCAATCAGAAAGGAGACATGCCAAAAACCGCTCACCTGATGCGCCGACGAATTGACCTCATGGTTCGACCGCGACCGAGTCGGCGGATTGCGCTGCTCCGGTTGGTAGGATGGAAAAGAAGTTAACTGCTTTAATCGTGGACTTTTAGATCGATCTGAACCATTTCGAACAAAAGGACGCTTCTTGATACTCAACAGTGGTTGCACAGATAAATGTCGCTTGGTCGACGCCGGATCTTGCTGTGGATCGTAGAGAGAAAACAATACAATCAGTTCGATAACACGAGATTTGGATTAGCGAAAAAAAGCAAAACAAAGACGAACAGTAAAGCACAAACATAGTGAGCGGACGTCAAAGCAGGAGGCTGCTGCGAGTGACCGGACGAACCAAATGACATTTACTGTATCATGCACTGCCAGACACCCTTTCCACTTGTGGACGCAACTAAACTGGCCAGGAACGAACGAGGACAATTCAGTCGAACACGAAACAGCGTAATAGTCGGACTTCTGCAAGCCGACGGTATACCTATGTCGACAGAATGCAACAGAAAGCATGGGCTGCGACTGTTACTGCCACGAACAGAAATGTTGGTTCACCAGCCGGTTTTCGACAAGAAACCCTCTGGCACCTCACTCGAGTGTTTTCTAAAGCTCAACCGCTTACCTTGGCTAAATCATGTCAACCGTACACCCGTAGACGGACGTCCTCGGCGCACACTACACTGCATGGCCGCAACAAATTGGGGGAAACTGCAAGGTGGACAGTCCATGAAGTGGAATAAAGGCATAAAGAAGTTGACCGGCTTGGGAGCGTCGGGATGGTCCACACAAGTGGTTGAAGACACTATCAGATATGGCGCAGCCGTACAGTGAGTGCTGCATTCGGTTTCGTGCGTCTGGCTAATAATTTCCATCATATATCGATTAGTTTTAAGCATTTCCTTCTTGATTCCATTATGTTTATTGTTTTGCGTTTAACCACATTTTTCCACAAGTGTCATTTTGCTTATCTGGTGTGATGAGTCGTGTCAACTGGGTCCACAGCACTCCGATGCCCGGACCATAGCTGTCCAAGTGAACAGCGCCACATCGAAACACGCGGTCCATTCGAACCGGACGATTGTCCGATATGAACATTCAGGGAAAATATCCAGAAGCCAATAAAGCAACAACAAAATCAGTCAGGCAAAAGAAAAAAACATCGGAAAACGAGGAACTTGCTGAGCTGCAATCGCTATCCGCGATAGGATGAGGTAATTCCAGTAGTAAAAGAGGCGACCTATGGTGCAAATAATTGAGTAAGGTGCCACCCGTATCGGTCCTCACAGATGTAATCGATTTAATTCGAGAACAGTGCTTAGACAAACTGCATTCATGGTGATACATTGTGCACAGTTGCACCGCAGACGTAGGTTACAACACTGCTCTCCACCGATTCAGTAGTCAGTAATGGAAGTGCTAGACCCTCAACAGATTCGGTGACAGATTGAAGCCGCGAAGATTGGACATTCCAGATGCTTACATATGACACGTCATCAGTAGATTGACCGTAAGAACATCCCTCATTGTTTGTTCAGTCACCACAACTAAATTGACATGATGCATTCGTCTGATCTCACAACTGGGTTGAGATTAGTCAGAGACAATATGATTGACAGCTGGTGACCTCCATGTTAACAGTGTTCATTGTTTGAAGCCGAAAACATTGCATGCAACAGCCGCGGCAAAACAGGCAGGAACTACCAGGAAAAACCCATGACCGACCGGTGGCTGAATGATTCAGGCAACCTGCTTATAACTCACAGGCAGGCGATTCGTTACTGCAGAAACAGGGACGATGTAGCAGCATCACTGGCCCCAATGCCACTGTTGGTCGTCGCGTGGTAGCGGAGTGGAGGAAAGAAGTACGTGTCCCTGATGTACTTCTGTGCGAAATTCATCCAGCATGTTTCAGAGTAGGCATAAAGTGGCATCGCAAGTCGTTGGCTTGCAAGGGAGAGATGGGCGGGTAACTTCGGTCATCATCATCCTTATCATTATACAGGTTGGCAGTAGGTGGAAAACACCTCAGCTATTGTGCCGCAATAAAAGGACAAGAAGGAGCAAAATAACAGTGGCACGCCGGCTGAGTCTCTAGTAAGGGACGGACATCGTTCCGGAGAGTCAACAGCCGGCTACCGTGCCGTAAAAGTAACGTTATGCTTAACGAATGCGATCGCGATGGGAGGGGGAGGCTAAGCAGGAAAGGGATAGACAAAGGAACACAAACACGCCATTGAAGCCGGCTCCTCGCCATATCACCGTGTCCAACCAAACATGTTCATCGTCCTTGAAACCCAAGCCACGCAGCCGAGATACACCAACCGACGCCAGTTCCGAAGTGAGGGTTTTCATTCGACCAAGTCATCGCTTGGCCTCCCCTCCTCCTCTTCCAACTGCAACCCCGGTGCGCAAACAATGCACGTCTCGGGGGTCGGTGTGCTGGCATGCGCAACACGTGGCCCAACCATCGGAGCCTGGTGCGTGATATAATGGTGCTGAGCGGTTCACTCGCTCTTCCTGCACCAAATACGCGACGCCGAATACGCTCATTACTCACGCGATGCTCCTACCATATATGAGCTAAGCAGCGAAGGCAGCGATGATCAAATGTGACGAGCCTCCTTATGTCTGTCGACCTGATGGGCCAGGTTTCACAAGCATATAGGAGAATTGAACGGACCTTTGCATTATAAACTGCCCTTTAGCGCGAGAGTAATGTCGCGTCTGCGCCACAGGTGGCGGAGATTGGCAAAAGCACCTCGAGCTTTTGCTATACGGTTCGTAATCTCATCTTCGATCCCACGGGCGCTAATATAGCTGCCCAGGTACTTGAATTCCTGAACGACTTCTAGCTCATCACCACCAAGCGTTAGCACAGAGGTGGGTCCCTGTCAATCTTGCAGAACTTCACATTTCGATGGAGCAAAGCATAGCCCGAAGCGATAGACAGCCAGTGCTAATCGGTCCAGTGCTGTTTGACATGTTTGGGAGCTGTCACAGATTAGGGCAATATCGTCTGCCTACTCCAAGTCAAGAATTCGCTCACCAGGAAGTAGCTCCACACCTTCTAGGTCGTGTCCAGCGAATGCTGTTTCCATGACTTCATTAATAGCGAGGTGCAAGAGGAAAGGTGACAGCGGGAACCTTGTCTCACACCGCTGGTGATACTGAAGGGTGGCGACAGTTTGCCATAAACCCTCACTCTGCCCGAACTAGGGGCGCACAGCGCTTTGACGATGTCTGCATATTTATCAGGTACACTTTCTCTCAGCAGACAGTCCCAAGGGGCACGTCAATCGACTGAGTCGAAGGCACCTTTGATGTCAAGCAACATGACAATGGTGGGTCAGCAATAAACATGACGGTGCTCCAACAATTGACGCAAAGTGAAGATATGGTCGATGCAGCCCCGACCTCGACAAAACCCGACTTGGTCTTCACGAATGCCAGTCTGTCTGTGGAGAATGACAGACGCAGGCGATTTAGAGGCAATTGAAATCAGACTGATCCCTCTAGGATTGCCGCATTCCGAACGGGAGCCTCCCTTGAAAATTGAGATAATGACGGAGCGGCTGCAGTCTGTCGGGACAGTCTGCTCCCAAAGTTTCACTAGCAATTCTTGTAAAATATTTATTAGAGCAGGTCCGCCGAATTTGAAGAGGGCTGGGGAAATTCTATCTGCTCCTGCGGCCTTATACAGTTTCAGCAGGCTGATCTCACGTTCGACTTCTGCGCGTGAGAGCGGATCCAAGGAGACGACCCAAGGAGAAGGGCGCTCAATGCCCGAAAAAGTAAGCGATAACTCAGATTGGTTAAATTGCCTTGCAAAGTGTTTGGCCCAACGCTCCAAGCGTTTTGACAGATTGTAAATGGGCTGCCCACTCTCGTCGCGTATGGTTTTGCTAACACCAGGTCACCTGCTGCCTGTTTCCCCTATCAGACGGAATAACTTACGATGATTACGAATGGGCACCGGTTTTTTCCATCTCAGAGGCATGTTGAGACCACCAGGCTTCGCGATCTTTCTTCAGGCTAGCACGTATTTTTGCCCCGAGATTCTTGCGAGTCTCATTGTATTCGCTTCCAGCCGGAATACCTGGACGAGCATCCATTAGTTTCAGAGACTGTGTAGAGACCCAATGTCCAGTTTGGCAATTTGATTTGTCACATGAAGACATTTGGCGGATATGCGACCAGTGATCATGCACGGGGTTCAGTGGGCGCTTACTAAACCCGGATGTCAGCGCACTTTGCTACACATTCAGAACACGTAGCCTCGCCGGCTGGATGGTGTCAATCCGTTCACATCGACGTTGCGGGCGTCCGCCGAAACGCACCCGAAGGTCGGCGAAGACAAGAGCGTGGTCGGAGTCTACGCTCGTGCTCAGAAATCGAGCAGTACTTTTGGACACAGTTTCCCCAGCGGTAACTAATGGCGATATGATCGATTTGCATCCGTGGCTGACGGCCGCCTAGTCACGCTTCTGCGGGTGCTGTGTGGAAAGTTAGTATTGGCGAGCAAGATAAGCACGTTCACACAGGTGTAGCAACCGCGTACCGTTATCATTACGGAAGCCTACCCTCTGTTGGCCGCCCAAATGAGGCCCATCAGTTGACAATTTTCCGACTTGGGCGTTTAGATCGTTAGCCAACACCACAGTATCCGTGCTTCTTCTGTAACGAAGAAGATCGTGAAATTGATGACAGAAAACACCTTTCACCGAATCAGTGCTACAGTTTGTAGTGGCGTAGACCCCGATGACAAACAGGCACCATATGTTTCGGGCGACTTTGTAGCATGGAACGAACCAGCTAATCTAACGGCGCACATGCGACTGTTGACTGGGATCCAATCGATCAGGGCAGCTTCAGCCCGCGGACTCAAAACAATGCCGACGCCAGCTTGACCGGCATTTGAAGCTGCGTCATCTCCAGACAGGCGCAATGAGAATGTGCCATCAGCGTAACATGTGGGGGATCACAGCGTAAGCACACAGCTGGAATCTTGCAGGCGGGTTTCCGATAAACAGCAAATATCGATCGGTTGGATCTCTAGTGTGCGGGCAAGTGCTGTATGTTGGCCAATCTGCAGCAAAATGTGCACGTTGACATATGCCAATCTTAGCGAGCCACGAAGACTCCAAAGGGAAACGGTTGAACTGACGTTGTCCACTTGGTTGAACATGGACTTGTCG